GAAGAATTTTAATGAAAAAGAATGGAGAAAAAAAATACATGTATTTAAAGTGATTGTTAAATGCTTCTTTTTAACATGAACACAAAAAAGACATCTGCATGCAAAATTACATAATCCAGTATCTTACGCCCCCTGCACCAACCTTTAAATGCAGATAAAAAAAGAAAAAAAATGAATATATAAATAAAAAAAAATTCTCTTTATATTTATTTTTTATTACAGAGTTGGAACTCCCGCCTTAAAGACTCCTGCAGGCCTGACCCTCCCCAGATACACCTAGCAGACCTACCAAGTGGCTCAGACTAACCCTACTGTCGCCTCCCAGGGCTGGGTCCACCCAGGATACATCATGCAGCCTCCTATGGCCCATGTGAGTCCGTATTCGTACTTTCCTGGGCAGTCTGGTTTAGTGACCAGAACTAAGAGACATAACTCTTTAAAAAAAAAAACATTGACAATTCCATGTGCAAAACAAAGAAAGAGAACATATATCAATCATGGCTATATTCTCTCAATTTTTCTTTCAGATCTGTAGAACTGACATTTTTTAAAACTTGTAAGGATTGAAATCATTTCTGTTTCCCATTGTAATTTTTTTTTACTATTTCATTTTCCTTGAATTTCTTTTATTGTTCTGAACAATGAAATCTTTTTTACTGTAGTATTGGTAGAATCATGTCGTAGATGATTTAACTATATTTATAACAACTAATGATGATGTGTCATATTTGTGTTTTCTTCATTTTGAATTAAGAGAGTTTTTATGATCAAATATATATTAATTCATTCTAGACAGCAAGGATATAATATATATAAAAGGGATTATATAGTTGTACAACAACATTCGAACCTTTCAAATGTGCAGTAATTGTAAAAAAAAAAAAAATAAAATCACATAGAGCAAAGTAGCAGAGTTCAACAGTTATGCAATTTACGTTATATATATATATATATATATATATATATATATATATATATATATATATATATATATATATATATATATATATATATATATATATATATATATATATATATATATATATATATCAAAGTACAGAAACGAAAAGCAACATATGGCTATGTTTTCATAGAATTTTAATTGACCTTATCCTTTATAAAAAAAAAAAAAAAAAAAAAAAAAAAAAATATTTATTCTAGTATTTAAAAAAGATTAATTAAAAAAACTTCATTGCGGCAAATGTTAATCATTGCAAAGCACGAAGTGTATTTGTCTGTCATGCACTAATTACATGAATAAAATTAATTAAAAAAATATTCTTATCCTGTTGTTTTTCCTTTATTTCAATGTATGTACAGATGGAGAAAAAAGAATCTTGTTAAACTTGCAATTAAAGGCCTGATAAGAGTGATAATTTATTTGAGTGATATTTAAAGGAATTAATAAATATTAGCGGTGTTTGTAAACATAAAATGCAGGTATTATTACAATTTGATAAGTTGTTGGTTTTCTCATCGAAAACATGTATAAAATATAGTTTTTAAGTAAGAACATGGAAGAGTAAAAATTAGATTTTAATAAATTGCTTTTAATTATTTGAAAATTTTACAAAATGAAACGTAATGACCTTGCAAACTATAAAATATGTTCTGTCAAAAGAAGTGTAAAAAGATGCAAATGTGTGTCAGTTTTATCAAATTTAAAAGAAAGGTACATGTATTTTTTATTTATCAATGTGAAGAACCTTTGATCGGTGTTGTCCATTTATATGGTTTTTGAGTAATGATAGATATTTATGTTAGAAGCAACGTGTTGAACATATTTGAGAAAAATATTTATCAAACTTTTTTCCTCGTGTTAGATTTTCCACTAAAAATATAATTAAAATGAGACTGGTTTAAGTGGCGGTCATTTTTCATTTTATTTGACAATACCACTTAAGTTTCAACAGGATTTATTTAGGTCATTTCCACCCTCCTCCCTGACAAGACAAACTTGTGTGAACAACTGTGATTTTTAAAACGGGCTGATTAATTATTTATCAGGGTATAGTGTAAGAAAAATCTATAACAAATCTTAATTTGCACCTAGAGATAGGCAAGATTTAGAAATATCATCTCTTTTTTTGTACAGGGAAGAAAAAATATCTTACTGAGGGTCTTTATCTGTTCTATCGATTTATAACTGCATGCTTGCCGTACGTTTACTGCACATACATGTAGAAGCACTTCACATATATGATTATAAATAAACATATATGACCGCTGAAACAAGTACTGTAAAAGCAAATAAGCACGAGCTTAAAACAAGGTGTATTTGTGAAACACTGATACCCTCGTACGTCAGCTCATGGCAGAGGTTATATTTAGAGGTTCTAAAATGCAAGTTATATTCCAAGGTGAAGGTTAAAAGGTCGAAAAAATTGATACCGAAAGAATGGTTTTGTCACAAGGAATACACCTGAGAAATATGAAAGCTTTAGAACCAACCATTCAAAAGGTATAACCAAGGTAAAAGTTTTTCAAAAGTAGATAAAATTCCAAGGTCAAGGTCAAAAGATCAAATATTTGTACTCGAGGAAAGCCGGTCTTGTCACAAGGAATAAACATGTGAAGTATGAAAGTTCTAGCACCAACTGTTCAAAAGTTATGGCCAAGATTAAAGTTTTTTCAAAAGAAAGTCAAACTCTAAGGTAAAAGGGTCAAATTTGTTGGTACCCAAGGGAAGGTCTTGTCATCTTATTACAAGGAATATACATGTGAAATTTAAAAGCATTCAAAAGCTAATACCAAGGTTTATGTTTTTTGAAAAGTAGGTGAAACGCAAAAGTCAAGGTTAAAAGGTCAGAATTGTTCGTACACATTGGAAGATCTTGTTACAAAAAATGCACCTGTGAAATATAAAAGTCCATGTACTAACCGTTCAAGAGTAATGACCAAGATTAAAGTTTTCCAAAATTAGTTCAAACTCAAAAGTCAAGGTAAAAATTTCAAAATTGTTGGTACCTAAGTGAAGGTCTTAGAACTAAGAATGTACGTATGTAATATGAATGCCCTAGCCGTTTAAAAGTCATGGAAAAGGTTAAAGTTTGTCAAACGTACGGCAAACTTCAAGGTCAAAGTCATAGGTACCCAAGGGAAGGTCTTGGAACTTAGAATATACGTATGTAATATGAAAGCCCTAGCTCTAACCATTCAAAACTTATGGCCAAGGTTAAGGTTTTTTTTAAAGTATGTCATGCTCCAAGGTCAAAGACAAATGATAAAAAATATTTGTACCTGAGGAAAGGACTTATCACAAAAAAATACACATGCGTGAAGCCCTGGTATCAATTGTTCAAAAGGTATGGCCAAGATTAAAATTTGATAAAATTTTGCAAAAATGGGTTGTTACAACGCAGAATGTAAAGACGACGCAGAATATAATTAACTGAGATAATCGCTTTTAAGTTATTTCATTTTGCGTCTCGATCAACGCAGAATGTACCTAACGCAAAATGTATTAACACTCTTTTTTGCCTTATTACATTTTGCGCTATTACACTTTTCGTCGAGATTAAAGCAAAATGTTATAAAACATTCTTTAGATTTAATATTAAAATTTAGACATTATTTGAGACCATTTTAAATCTCATTTTCTGATATTTCAAAAATCTGTCAATACTATTAATTTTGGTATTTAAAAAATATAAATACATACATGTAAATCCAAAGTTTGTGTTCTTGAAATTCTGTGTCGAAATTTAGACAAATTTTATTAACGCCAATTGAAATAATGACTTCTGTTACTAGAGGTTAAACTTTTCCATCTATCCATTGAAGGAGAAACAATTTCCCGTGGCGCAATAAGTTGAACTTAAAAATATAACAAAAAAGCTTTTGCATGTTAACTGTAAAAAAAAATATCCTTTTCTGTTGATAAAACAAGAGGTATAAGAACAATTATTCAAAACATGAAAACCTCCAAAAGTGCGAACAATATGGTCATCATTTTACTATGGCAACCAACAAGGATTAGGACATTTTAATTTAATAAACTCTGCCTGGGGATCAATGTAAAAAGTATACCGACAGGAAATTTAGGAATATTTTCGATAAGGATGTCAAAATTATATAAAAAAAATTTAAATGATTGCAATATACTGTATTCATGCTTTCTATGATGAATGCATTTGTAGAGATAATAAGCGATCATTACTTTCTATGATATTATATTCTGCGTTAACTTCGATGCAAAATGTATCAACGCAAAATGTAAGGATCCAAAAAAGTGAGTTTTTACAAATTTGAGTTATTACATTTTGCATTGACCTCAACGTAAAATATGATAAAGAAATATGTAATAATTCTAAAGGTATTTTATTACATTTTGCGTTGGTCTCGATGCAAAATATAATAACGCAAATGTAATAATCTCTGATAATTACATTTTGCGTCGTTATTATATTTTACGCTGTAACAGTGGGTCAAACTCCAAGGTCAAGAGGTCAAATATGTTGGTCCTCAAAAGGGTTTTGTCACAAGGAATACACATGTGATATATGAAAGCCCTAGCACCAACTATTCAAAAGTTATGGGCAAGATTAAAGTTTCAGGGGGCACAGACAGACAGACGGACGATAGAACATAGGAAAAATTATATGCTTCCAAGATTATTTTTCGTTCATCGCACATTTATGATACCTGTACACTGTACTTTAATATCCTCCCAAAATAATTATTTTTATCGCGATTGAATGATGGGCTGAAATCCCATTTACTAGATATCATGTTATTATGTTCACCTGTATCCGACCTTCAAGGTGAATATAATTTCCAACACAAGTTTGCATATTTCAATCATTGAATCATAAAATAAAACTTTTTTGTCAGTATGATTTAGCAACACAAATAAGTGCAATATTAACCCTGAGCTTCGGGCTCTTAAATTTTTGCCATTTGCAATATTTTGAAATACACAATACAAATGCTTTCTTAATTATAATAGAGACACCTTAATTTTAGAGGTACCTAAATTTTGAAAAACAAAAACAAGGTGCTTTGAATCAACCATGTGATTTTATTTCTAATGAATGATGACAAGTTTTAAATGAAAATTAAAAAAAAAAATCTACAAAATGAAATAAAAAAGACTCAGATTTGTGTTTCAATGACAACAGATGCATGATACTCTAAAAAAATCATATTTGTCCTCAACAACTACAGGCAAAACATTCTACATTCCATAACTTTGTAAACCAAACTATAACTGTTAACTTATACTCAAAGCCAAATCATCAAATTTTAAGATTTCTTTAGAATTACTTTGGTCCCCACTATATGGCTCATATAATTTCCTCAGTTCCAAAGACACACTTTACTCTGTGTTGTTGGTCCTGATCTTGCCTACAGACTTTAGATCGCCTTGGCCTTGAGGATAAATTGAATATGAAAGACATTTAGCTCTTTGCTAGTTAAGCTATATGCCTTGAGTATCTCAACATGAAAAATGCTAATCTATTGACCCACAGATGCACAGTGCAGTCCAAAAGTTAATGTTTCTGTCCTCTCATTTTCCTTGCAAAACTGCATATGGACTGTATTAAAAGCAGTTGAAATGGTTGTTGCACATATACAGCCTTGTGCAAAAAATGGAAGACTGTTTTGGACCAAGAAATAAAAATGATTGCTTTCAGAACTTAATTAGATCACAGTAAATAAAACATATGGACACACCATTATGTAATAATGTTCACAAAAACAGACTTTTGTTGTAGTTAATTTTTCTCCCTGAGAGCGGCGTTCCATTACATCTCTAACAATAAAGCAGTCTAATTTATTATAACACTAGAATTTCACTAAATTTAATCACTATTTATATAACACTAGCTTTTACTATAGTAGACTTCCAATTTGAGTTGAAAGACAGAGATTTTAATAATATCTCTCCTTTATAACTATGTTGTTCATGTCTTTGATTGCTTCATAAATTGTTTTCGTATGTCTTGAAAATACCTTTTAGCTATAAAATTGAAAACGATTCTGTATTTTTTGCTTCAAAAATACATGTAACAAGGAGATAAAATTTGTAATTTTATGAACATTAGTAAATTTTGAAAAGTGATTAAATAATTTCAAATTTTTTTTAACAATGAACAATACTTTAAAAAGATAAAAAGTCATTTCATTACATACATGGTTTGTAACAAAAGTAAAAATTGTATTGCTATACATATATAATTCTACAAGGTTGTTGATTTCACAATTACAGTCTGAATATTATTCAGTATAACACTTCATTCCTAGTCATATTAATGGAAAATAAATGAAATGTGAAGCCATGATTCAATCAGCACATTCCAAGCAAAGGATCAGACTTGCTATGAAAATTCATGATATTTCTGTAAATCAATGCCTCTAGGAAGAATTGTTTTCTTCCTTGGGAAAAAAATATATAATTCCAAAAATGAAAATGAAAACTAAAGCTAACCAACAATCAAATACAAAGCTACAGCACTATATGCACGAAATGCCATGTCCATCACAGTTCTGAACTATTCTCCCATGATGCAGTATAAATTTTGATCCATGTATAGCCACTGTATTAACTAATGACAGATTTACAGATGTCACTTTTTGATCAAACAGGTCTTTCATCATAAAATGGAAAGCTACCCTTACTTTGATATAGAGAAACTGCCCATCTTACATGCTGTAAACAAGGAAATTCCCTCCTCTTGTAATTACAAGGATATTTCCTCCTACTGTAATGACAAGAATATTTCCTCCTACTGTAAATTACAAGGATATTTCCTCTTGCTGTAAATTTGACATTTTTCCAGGAAAGGTACCTTATGTTTTGGGTTATATATGTGGTGCCCAAATATTTCATTTTGGTATACAATGCAATGAAACAACTTAAGAGAGGACTTAAATAGGCTTTCTTGCCATCTGTTCAATCCCTTTCCTTTTGGAAATAAATATTTTTTAGAATTAAAAAAAAATATAAATGACTAACCAAACCATGTCAGATATTAATTAACAGAAAGGCTGTACTTGCATATTAACATAAATAACCCAATTGCATAAAATTTTCCAGGATTACTGTAATCAAGCATGTTTTTCAATAATACTCTACAAATGTGAAAGGTATAAGCTTAACCTATTATATAAAAAAGTGGCTTTAGCAAATACATAAATATATAAATGTATACTCTTGAAATTTAAATTAAAGATGTCAAATCACATCAACATGTGTATTAATCTAACCACTGACAGACCAATTACTTCTATTTGTTACAATATACTTACAGCAATACCAATGTTTTTGGTCTCATTTTTTAATTATCTATCCGAGTTCACTCATGTCAAAATTCTATAATCAAATGATGAAAAAAAAGCATAATCATATTTTTAAAAATGTGCATGATATAAAAAAAAACACACTACTTTGTAAATCACTGTACATTTCAAGGCTAATGCCACAGGTAAAATAATGACCAATAAAAACTGTATACGTGAAGCAATTGATCACAAATGCAAAAGCAACATACGGTGAAAATGATGAAATGATTAATCTATAACTACGCTGATGAATAAAGAAAGTAGAGATGAATGACACCGACAAACAGACAGACTGGTTTTAATGATGATGGAAATTCAGGAGCAGTAGAGTAGTTCACATAGAAACATGGTTCTAGCATCAAAGTATATAAAAAACGTTTTCATAAAGCAGAGTTCACAATGAGTTGCTATATTGTGTAAATACCTAAGTTTAAAAAGTCTATTCACATGTTATTTCATTGTGTGTAGTATTATTATATTGCTTTTATCCACAACATACTTGTTAATGAGCAATTTCAGATAACCTGATATAAAGGGCAATTGATAATTATAATAAAAATTGAAAGCATAAAAAGTATTTTTCATTAAAATTTAAAGTCATATTTAAAAATTGATTTTCAATTAAAATGTTTTCAATTTTACCACAGAAAAACTAATAACCAAATGGTTATACCATGTATACCATCTTTTTTAAAATAATCTTAATTTAAAAGTTGGAGGAATTAATCCAAAAAACAAAAATGAAAAAGAAAAAATTGACGATTACAGAAAATAACAAAGATAATCTCATCAATGATTGGAAACACAGAAACATTAATCAACAACTAATAAGCTATTGTCATTTAGCGATTGTTCTACCAACATTATTTTTTTTGATTTGAACTGTTGAACTATACATGTCAATCACACAATTAACAAACGACCGAGGTAGGAATAAAAGAATGTACTCTCAATACACAAATAAAAGGCTTCATCTGAAGTATTTCCTATTGCATAACATAAAACATGTGGTTCATGACCTTGTCCTTAGACAATGGCAACTCTTTAACACTTCAGGTTTTTTTTGTCTTTTTTTTGAACAACTAAACGAAAACTTTTATCACAAAACATTTCCTACACCTGTCAGATGAAAAATTAATCTTGTAAATTATAGACATTATTTGGTGACATTGAAGAGAAATGCTGCCATATTAGAAAACAAGAAAGATTATTAAAGGAAATAAAATTGTGTATTTGTGGAAAACAATTTTACCCACTGTCATTAAAATTACAGAAAAAAATGTCACAAATTGATGAAAATGTTATGCGTCCTGTCAAAGGCTTTCAGCGGGGGACATTGATGACTTTGGATACAAATATAGCACCGATCAATTATCCTCTCAATCAGAATAGCAGAGTTAGTCTGGTGCATGTGGCCATGTCTTATGTGAAGCTGAAATAAAATTCAGTAAAGAAAATAATTCAAATGCATTTGAGCAAACAAAAACAGTTATCTTTGATTATCTCTAATATGGTAACCATGGGTATATTGAAGTGAATTGCAAATTACAACTACTTTTTCTTGTTGTATTTTAATCTCAATATCTTGAATTCTCAGATACCTGGAAGTTTTTTCTTAGTCCCATAAAGTGAGAGAAAAAGAGGTCTGACTATATCTCTAGAAATATCTATTTCATCACTGAATGGAAGATTTTACTAAAAATTCACTTTAACCTATTTAGTTACAATTCTTATTCTTGACGGAGTTACATAGGCAGCTTTCAAGTCAGCCTATAATTGTTCTTACCTTGACTTGAGTTTCATAGGCAGATTGTAGGTTTACCTGTAATTGTTCTTACTTTAACATTTACTAGCCTCCTTGTACATAAGCCTATGATTGATTTATTCTTGACCGATTTATGTAGGCAATTTAAAAGTTAGCCTATAATAGAATGTTCTTATTTTGACTGAATTACAAAGGCAGCTTTCACTAGGTCAGCCTGTAATTATTCTTACCTTGACTTGAGTCACATATTAAAGAATTTGTATGTGAGCCTGTAATTGTTCTAACCTTGATTGAGTTGCATAGGCAGCTTGAAGGTTAGCCTGTAATTGTTCTTCACCGCTAGCTTGGTCAGGCTGTAATTAAACAAATTACACAAATTCATGAATGTAACACTTCACACAAAATTTGCATGTAATAAAAATCCACTCTTTCAATGGATGTTTTTAATGATAAGAATTTTATTCCAATATGTAAAGAAAAATATTGGAATATATGATTTTATTAAATTACACAAATATATGTCATTTTGACTGAAGGGTTTTCTAGTTTATTTTCCTTTTCATACAATATAAGTTGTGCCAGAAACTTTAATGGCTTTACCACTTATCAAAACTTACATCAAGCTGAAGGCCCTGGATCATGGCGCCCCCTTGGTATGGAATCTGTGAGTAAGCGGACTGGGCCAGGGGGGAGGTGGCGAGGTACTGAAAGGGAAATACATATCTATTAATAGCATTCTCTATCGGATGTTTTGAAAACATTGCAAAAATGAAATGAATTCCTTCCATTATTTTTTTTTTTAGAGAAAGAAGTTTTTCCCTCGAACATTTTAACTTTATCAAATCAATCAACATGCTGTATGTATTTTTGCATTTGGGCATACATAAGTACTGTATTTGAAACTTGTTTCTTTATGTTTACAACTTTTCTTCATGGTTTAATACTCATTATTGTATTCCGAGTAACATTTCTAGGGTAAATATATATGTAAATCCACACTGATTAATACATTTCTAATATACATTAATTAGTCAAGCTTCACATACAACTTTACAATAGATATGTAAAATCTAAGACTCTATCACAACTACAAATGTATGGTTCTAAGTACATGTGAATATAATGATAATTATGCAGATTTTACATGGCTAATTGTTGAAAAGATTTTTTTTTTGTCTATATGTAAAGAAAACGAAGTAATAAAGTACATATTTCCAACAAAATTCACCATCCCTATACAAAAATCCTGTCTGCCTGTGTTACCATGGCAACAGAGTTACCACGGTAACAATGACATCAACAAGATCACCAAGGAAGGATGTGATAGGTAACAGTAGTGAACAGCATGTTGTCATCAATTCTCAAACTGACCATCTGGCAGTTAATTCTGCAGTGTGAGTGTTACAAGTCAAGCAGTTAAAATCAGAATTTGATTATAATTAATATATGAAAGAAATTTGAGTATGGTACACGAGAATTGATGACATCACAGTCTATTATCATGTGAGGGCTCAACAGTGGATACACAATCTGTGCAATTGTTATAAGCATTAGTTATGCTAGAAGAGGCCTGCTAAGCAAAACTTGACCCCCCCCCCCAAAAAAAAAAACGAGACGAAGTTTTTTCCATCTTTGAGTTATTGAATTAGTGAATTTCAACTTTCCCCCACCATCTTAGAATTCAGTGAATTTCAATTTTCAATGGTCAAGTTCTGGTGAGAAAGCCACTTCCATTTGACATCCAGATATATATACAATAATTATATTGGCTGAAAAAGATTGATCTGGCTTATATAAACCATACAACTATATAAAACAAAACAAAACAAGCCTTTGTGTCAAGGGAGATAATCATTGTATGGTTCACAATAAAGGTTTGGTTTTATGTTCCGATACTTTACAAATGATCAGAGGATGGTTTTAATTAAAATCCAAAATTTTCTGAAAACTTTTACTGAAACTTGTCTAATTTAAAGTATTTTTATTATACTATAGTTGGACACTAATGACTCATTTTGTACTTGTCTGTTAAAAGAGTATATTAAATTAAGTATCCGAGATCTATTTGCCATCCAATGATATTATCCCAAAGCATCAAAACTCACAGGTTTAGAGTATATATAATATATATAAGTGTGTAATCTACATATCATACAGTATACAGAAAATGAGTGTACAAATATTGATATATATGGAAATTAAACACTGGAGCAATGCAAAGAGAGGACTAATGTTCTAGTGGACAGCATAGTCAAAACTAAATTATAACTGAAAAATTAAATATCCACTAGAAACACCATGTACTCTCTTTTCAAGCATATATATTTCACAACATGCACAAAAATAATTGGAGAAATAAATAAAAAGAAAGTGTTACAGGAAATAAAGCCTAGATATCGTAAAAAAAAAAACCAACACCACACAATTACCGGGCAGCCATCTTGTATCCCAGCATTCCCTTTCTCGTTCCTTTCAGTTCTGTTTGCATGTGACAAAATCATCACTGACCCAAGATTTTTGATCATTAATAGCTGTTTTATATAATTTGAGTCCTTTTTTTTATCACTTCAATTGTATTATCATGCTTTTATTTGTCCCTATAATCCACCTTAATCAGCCTATGTCTCGGTTCTTCCAGAAGACATATGGAACTCCTTGGGCATCTTCCATCATCAGACATTGAAAAAACAGAACTCAACTTTTATCGATAACAAATGACTTTTATTGCAAGATTCCAGATGTCCTTAAATCAGCCATTTGTCACATAAAAAAATGAAGTACCTTTTCTTGCAGTTTCTTACCCACAGTAAAAAATTATATGCATAGTGCATAAAAAAAATTATTTAAAAAAAAACAAAGACCAGAGAAATGTAAGGTTACTGCATCTCAGTAACTGTGTAAAAACAAAAACACAAAAATGTCAAATATATCATGAAACATCACTCTTCGTTTAATTGCTAAAAAATAAAGGCTCTGAAATACAAACAATCACGCTCAACAAAGATATATTTGAATGTAATTTTTTTTGCTAACATACTCATGGTTAAAAATTTATTTTCATTATTAGGATTTTTGGTTAAGCCAGAGGAAAAAAAATCATATCTACAGTAGAAACAAGATACCATCACCCATTAAAAAATGCATCGCAATTTTTTTTATTATTTTTTACAAAAAGACTACTCATCTAACATCTATGTACAAATGCAAAAAATTGCTTTCTAACCAAACATACTTAAACATGAGGACATCCTAAATGTGAAAGTTGAAAATGTGGTGAAATGAATGGAATAGTTTGAATATTAAGATAAATAATTTGGAACACTTGAACATTTGAACATCTAAAATTACTTTATAATATCCTATAGTTTCTTTCTTCAAAGAAGACAAAAAGGTAGCAGCTTTTATATCTATTTTTAGTTAGGCATATTCATGCGAAAATGAGTATACTAACACATTTTTAGTCTTGATTATCTGACTCAAGGGAGCTAACTCTTCTTTTATAAACTCTGTTACTCCCCTTGCCTGTTTACACCTCTTTATAGCACCAAGTTTAAATGCTCTGACTGAAATTTCACTTTCATAACATTATTAATGATTCTCCAATGATTAATTATTTAAGAATATAACAATGTCTATATATATATATCTATATATTAAATAATTATGATATTTTGAATACATTTTGCTCTTTTTTACTGGCAAGTCCATTTTATGGAATCTGGGTATACTTTAAAATAAAAATACATTACAAAAGTTTAACAAAAAAAAGTTATAATTAGAAAAAGTAAAAGTATTGTTCAGTATTCAGGACCCGATAAGTAATATCAAAACAATTAAGAAATGAAAATATTGTGATAGATAAAAGAAACTTAAAAAATATATATAAAAAAGATTCATTTGCCTGAATTTTATTCTCACATCAGATAAACTAGTTATTTGTTTTGTTATTATGCATTGTAAGTTCTATAGGTCTTTATACACTTATATACATGGTGACTTTTTTCAGAAAAAAGGGTAGTATATATCTATATATACTGACATTGTCAACAAGTTGATTTCCATTTAGAGGTAGTAGCACTAATCTTTGTATGAAAATTCAATTCTACATATTTAACACTCTTAAAAAAGTATATAAAAAAAAGGTTGGCAACAATAGGCACGAGTTACATTTTTATATATTAATATTTATCTCTCTTGGAATATGGAAGTTGTCTATAGAGCATACAAGAACAAGCAATTTAAAGCTACTTAGTTGGAGTATAATATTGGGCAACCACTAACAATTAATATCTTTTTTTTTTTGGTCAATGAAACACAAATTCCAGTTTGAATTTTGTCCCATTACTTTTATCCCCATAATATTCTTTTTATTATCAAACTCCATATATTCAATTATATACATACTATGAACATTACCTTTTTAATAACAAGGATTTATGCTAAAGTGCTATGCTTAAGACTTTGCATGGTATATTACTTATATAGATATATATATATACTGAAAAGACACCACTTACTCAATTAACATCACAGATGCATATAGAGGGGATTGCGTAATAGATTTGATGCTGCCCTGAGAAACAATATATAAATTGTTTACATGGTCCCACATACGATATCAAAACTCTGCCATATAATCCGTAAATCATATCATAAACAAAGACTTGATTATTCTGTTGATACGTAAGCAAAATTTGATAAAACTTTACACGAATGGACCAGAAACTTTTTTCAGATTGAAAATTCAAAAAATGTTTACACTGATGAAGCCAAGTAAAAGTCCTTTAGTGCATGTGTACCTGCTTGTATGAGATAAAAGTGTATCAGTTTGAAAAAGAAAGATGGATGAAACTGGTTACATCTATGTACATATTTACATCACTTTGCATAGAATATCTTTACAAGCCTACTTTTCTATCAAAAAAATCCTTCCATAAAAATGCTTCATCAGTCTATAGTCCTCAAAGTGGCCATATTTTCCTTCCCCTATCATACAAGTACAATCAACACCTATATTAATGGTCCTATCCTAGCTATGCTATATTGCTTCATACAGCTCTCTGATGTAAACTGAAGAAAGGGGTATAAGATGGTTCCAATAAAAAGCCAGGTGGCAAAAGATGAGGATAACCAAATGAAAAATATTGGAGAAAACATACCACTCATGTTTCAGATACTAGCAGCTATGCACTCTATCCCAAAAATTAAAAAAAAAAAACATTAAATGCAGGCATATAAAACAATACAAATTATATAGGGGAAAAAAATGTAAAAACAAATGTCACATAACTGATGGTTGTCAAGACGAAAACATGGTTACCATAACAACAGTCATGACAACATAATGCCATTCACAACAGAGTGAGTTGGGCCTATACAAGTCTGTACACATTCTACACAGTATTTATGTGGATTAAAATTTTGAGTATTGCTGGTGAAAGGTAAAGTTCGATTAACACTGTACTTTGTAGAAATAATTTTGAAACCATTACACAGTTAATGGAGTCCCAAGAGCCGTATCATCCAATCATCTTGTACAAACAAGCCATAACAATGACAATCACATTTTCAATCTAGAGTTCATTCATATTCATCATTTGCTTCGCTTAATGTAATGTGAGTATACAAATCATGTGACTAAAGTCAATCCAATCATGTTTGTGAACTAATATCATGTGACTTCTGAGAGTGTTTGTATAGCTCATTGCTGTTGCCATAGGCCTACGGATCCATCAGAAAGAATGGTGGGGTATGCGGTGGAAATGGGGTTAAGTAGAGAGTTGGGGGCAGGTGAGGTGCTCTGGGGCAAGACGGGGGAGGTAGATAGCACCTGCAAGAAAAAATACAAGATATATATTATTTGGGTCTCTTCTAAAATTGAGTATTTATTCCCAACCACCCTCATTTTGCCTCACAAAATCTATCAAGAAAACATTCTCAATCCTAAGTCACTTTTATGTTATATCTGAACAAGTTGGATTGCTGGGTAAAGTTTGCTTAATTTTTCTATAAGAAGAATAATGAAGGAGTTTTAATATAATTTCTAGAGGTATTGGGTTAGATAACTGCCGGATTTCACTTTTGGATTTGCATCTTGTCTGTTATGCACCGGATGTAACAAATACATGTAAGGTCACTACAGCGTTTACTTGTGTTGTCATGTAGTTTATATATAACTGTTTAACTTTGCTACTTTGCTACGAGTGCATTTTTTTACAATTATTTCAGACTGTTGGCACATTTGAAAGGTTTGGATGTTGTTGTGCAACCATGTAATCCCTTTTATATATATATTATATTCTTACTATCTAGAATGAATTAATGTACACTTGACATAAAAACTCTCTTCAAAAATGAAAACACAAATATGACACATCATCATAAGTTGTTATATAGTTGTAATCATCTAAGACATGGTTCTACCAATACTACAGTAAAAAAGATTTCATTGTGTAAAACAATAAAAGAAATACAAGGAAAATGTCATATGAAATAGTAAAAAAAAAAAAATACAATGAAAAAAAGAAATGATGTCAATTCTTACAAGAAGTCTTAAAAAATGTCATTTTACAGATTGAAAAAAAAATTAAAGGGAGAAAATATAGCCATGATTGATATATTTTCTCTTTCTTTGTTTTGCAGATGGAATTGGCAATGTTTTAATGAGAGTTATGTCTCTTAGTTCTGGTCAACTAAACCAGACTGCCCAGGAAAGTACGAATACGGACTCACATGGGCCATAGGAGGCTGCATGATGTATCCTGGGTGGACCCAGCCCTGGGCAGCGGCAGCAGCAGCAGGGTTAGTCTGAGCCACTTGGTAGGTCTGAGGGGTGGTGGCTACGGTGTATCGGGGGAGGGTCAGGCCTGCAGGGGTCATTAAGGCGGGAGTTCCAACTCTGCAACGAAAGAAAATATAAACATATGAAATGTATATTTATATTCATTTTTTTTCATTTGCATTTACAGTTTGGTGAAGGGGCATGAAATAATTGTTCATGTAATTTTACATACAGAATTTTCCTCTTTTTTTTTTTTTTTTGGTGTGCATGTTCAAAAGAAAGCATTCAACAATCACTTTTAAATACATGCACTTCCTCCATTCTTTTTAGTAAAAAAAGCTTTGTTCTGTAACAGAACTGCAATTACTTGAAAAGTACCCTTTTTCTTTTTTTTTTTCCTAAATGCATTTTTTTTAAATCCTTTTTAAGGATAAAACTTGAAATTTTTAGCACAAAATAAAAATTCTTTAGAGAATTGTCATAGCATCAAGCAAAACCTGACAATTCTCTAATTCTTATTCTCTTTAGATATTTATCAATAATGTTTTATTTTGCCCAAAAGGTCAGTCTCTGATTTCCTTATTGAGGTTAAGTAAAAAGGTACTAAAAATATCCTTTATCTAAATAATAAACTGAAATGAATCCCAAAATGGAACTTATTTTCTGATATCTTCTCCAGCATTGCCTTAGTTGTTAACCTGGGGAGCCCCATCAATTATCCTGGGATCTGACTAAATATAGTACTAAAAGACATCAATTCTGAAATGCCACAGAGAGCAAGAAAAATGCCATTTGTACAAATACCATCAGCTTAGCAAAACCTCCAAAGGATAATTAAACATCCAAGAATATGTTGCCTCTTTGCTTTGTGATATGCTTTGCTTTCTCTAAATTTTGATAAAGTACGTATATGACAAAAGAGAGGCTCATGGATCACAGTGCTCATCTGGGTCATATTTTCATTTTCTGGCCTGGTTCTAAGGGATATATTCCTTTAAAATTTCTCTGTGTTGTATGTCTTTATGAAGTACTACTGATCAGTAGTATACAAGATTTACAAAGATGTTCTGACTAACTTGAACTGCATGTGGCCATATTGTTTGGAATAAGATTTTTCCTAAATATTTTATAAAAATATTTCCTACTATTATGGAGTCTCAGCTGGGAGCATGATTGAACAATTAAGAATCTACACTTCATGAATATGTTTTCTTATAAAACTGCCAAACTGGGATCCTGATGTTCTAGAGAAGAATTTAAAATGCTTCTCTTATTTCCTATATGTTTTTACTAGATTCCTCATTGTGGGCCCATCTTATTCCTAGCAAGACATCATTATTTGAACAAACTTACATAAATACTACATTGTATATATCTGAAAACTTCCACATATTAAGTTTTTATGGCTCAGTTATTCTAAAGACTTTTAAAGGCATCACCCTGCTTTTACTTTGAATTATATAGCACAGTCTTTTATTTGAACATAATTGAATCTCCTTTCATAAAGGACACTTAGTGCCAAGTTTGGCTAAAATTAGCCCAGCAAGTGTTTTATTGAGGAAATCAAACATGAAAAGTTAGTATACTAATTTAACAAACACATGTTGGACAAACTTTGATAAGAAAGCTTACTTGAGTCTGGCTCAGGTGAGCTAAAAATTCCTCTAGCCTTTTTATTAAAAACCAAATTAATCCATGCCTTGGTTATTTAGCAAATCTAATATAATTTCATTAATTAATGAAAGAAAACATTCATTCTTTCCAAAACAAAATTTCTGGATGTATAAATGATAAAAAAAAAAAAGTAAGGTCAAAGCCATGAAAAGTAGAATTACAAGAAATGTGGAATGAAAATCATAAATTCTGATATTGTTCTTTGATTAATATAATGATCATTGTCTGATGAGTCTATACTCCAAGCAACATTAATACTGAAAATATAAACACAGTATGTCAATCTAATGGACTGCTTGGGGTCTACTAGATCTTGCAATTGGCCATAAAACAATGTCATATAAACACTGTAGGAAAACTATCAAAAAATACTTAATGAGACCACAAAAGTCTGGCTTCATATTGATTAGATGATAAAAAATCCATCCCAAATCAGTAATTTTTATAACTATTGCAACAGATGGTAGACTATAAAATCTGTCAACTACAGCCCAGTAATTAATCAAAAAGTCACCAGGAGATTAACGATCATGTGACTTCACTATGGTGGCAAATACATAGTTACAATAAAAATGGCATCTCTTTTTAAAATGTTTTCCAAATTTACTTATGCAAATTACCAAAAAAAAAAAAAAATTGCACTTTGGAAGTGCTTTGGAAAATGTTGTAGGACAGTTAAAGAGTATCATATTTCAAGCACCTCTTAAAATTATGAAAATTTCTAGATATATTAAGGGTCCATTCTTCATCTTCCCACAGGAACTGAGATGGCAGATATGAGGCATACAATTAATCAAATAAGGTCATTGTAAGTTCATTCTTCAATTATCTTTTCCTATTCTCTTTAAAAAAGTTGAAAGTGTTGGAATAAAATACTTTCTAGAGTGGGTGTATAGCTAAAACATAGTCTTCAAAACAAGTCCCCCATATCAGACACCAGACACTTGAATTTGGAAAGTTTTTACAGATTACATATATATAAAGTGATAAAAAGTTCTCTCCCCTTGATGTTGCTGCAGTGCAACCTTAAAAAGTTAAAGATAAACTTCCTTAAACTTACCCATTTGTTGCGAGGGCTTGGTCAGCATAGGCAGCTAAGGCAAGGCTTGGCTAAAGAGAGAAAAAGAAAAACATTCTATATTTCATCATACCAATCCAATACAATTAATATTCATACAAATTGCCTGCATGTTTATCATGCAATCTATATAGCATTCAACATGTATGCTGCATACATAAAGTCAATGCAAAAAAAAAAAAAAAATGTTATTGCCTGTAAACACTCAGTACTCTTTATTGAATTTATTTTTATCACAAGCCTTAATTATTTAATGTTGATGAAAATAAAAATGATGTTAATGCACTAGTTTGTTAGTATTTCAGAAATTTCATTAACAAAGGGTGAGACTACACTTGTTAATTAAAATATATTAATTAATGCTTAAAACCATGCCACCAACAGATGCATGCAAGCAGCTCAAAAGAAAACAGGCAATGCCCTTGTATGTATGTATTTTTGACCTTATCTAATAATGTAAAAACCTTAGAATTCAAGAGTTTACTCCCTTTAACAAAATGAATGAAACAATGTTCTAAAAGCATGCCAAATATGAGCTGAATTCACATAAACAAAGAGAGCAGGGGAGCAAAAAATAGAAGTACAAAAACTGATAGGGAGCAGAGAAGAGCAAATTGAAAATTTTATTACATCTCCCATTTGTTGGAAGTAGGCCTGCAGGGATCCACTTTTGTCAAGACCAACCAAACTCTGGGCCAACTAAAGAAAAAAAATCCGAAAAACAAAGGTCAATGACAAGCCAGGGATTAGAAAAAAATTAGTGCTGATTCTTCGCCTTTTTCTGGAGGAGAACCAGTTTACTGGAAACTGGATGTACTTCTTGCATATATTTGTACTTCACTTTCGAAATCTAATTTCCATGATTTTTTTTTATTTGGCTATATCAATGAAATTTTTGGGTCAATGCATGCATAATTACTAACATTGTCACCAATCATATTTTTGTCAATTATGACAAAACCTTTTTAAGATTTTATCATGCTAAAAGTATTTATGTCTTTTGCCATGCATATAGTATGAATCAGGTCTAAATTACAAAACAAGATTGGAAAATGCTCCATAAATGTGCCCATGAATACTCTATTTATATTCTCACTACAACTATATAGCTATAAAGACCACAATTTTTTGTGCAAGTGCACTGCAATTCACTGATAATTGTTATGATCATGCCATGTTTAAGATTTAATGCTCAATGGAAATCTTTCAATCAGTCATATTTCATCTTTTTTTTCCCCTTCAACTGATCATATTCAATTGAATTTGTATTTTTCAAAAGGCAGATGAAATCTCTTGTCTATGATATATACTGACGGTAAATATATCTCAATATAAATATGATTAATAGATTACACTTTTTATCAAATTCAAAACTAAGAGAGAACTATTTCTAGCTAATTAATGCAAATATGAATGAATCACTTTCCAGATATACAATATTTCTATATGAAATGAAATTATGTTGGAATAATCATTACTGGTGTAATATAAGGGTTAAATAAATTCAATTAAAAAATTAGTCTTTATTTAGCTGGGTATCCCATAAAACTTGAAATCTGGCAAAAGCTAACACCCATGGCAACCATCACCATGGCAACTTGCTTACCTCATTCCGCATTTGTGGGATAGCAGTCTTTTTCTTGTTTCCTCCATCAGCAAATTTCACCAACAGAGGTTCTGTGCAACCTTTAAAAATGAAGAAAAGAAATATTTAGAAGCTATAAAAGATTAACAAATATAAATTTATTATTTCTTTGAGGTGCAATACTTTCTGTCAAGTACACCAAACATTTCTTTTTTCTCACAGAACTCTCTTCTTAATTTGAATTTTCAGTGATACAATTAACTCACAAAAATATGTTTCTGATTGCAAAAGATATCTTTACAATATATGTCGATCATGTTCATTGAAAACAATTTAAAGCAATGAATAGTTTCTCCTTTAAAACTTAGAGATGTGTATTGTTCAACACAACCTTACTTTCTAAAATCATAAATAGTTTCAATTACCTGCATGGATATTAGAAGGCCTAGATATTTTTTATTTTCTATGCTTACAAAATACAGGTTAGTGGGAAATAACATGGGATAAGTAAATAAATAGGTCAGACATCAGCAAAGAACTTGTTTATACTGTCAGTCAAATAGTGACCCCTGTACAGTAGCAATCTAAAGGCCTACTTAATTGTGGGTCAAAAACATAAAATAACACTGAATGCCACAGAGTAGAAAGTGGTCATCCTAGCAAAAATACAAACTCTTCCACTTGCTGTACAATAAATTCACAGGAGACCATATTTTAGACCCTAACAGAGTAGGCTAGGGAACGTCTCAGTGGCCCTCTGATATAGCACCAAAGTTCAACAAAATACGAGTCTTTGAGTCTTCATGGTGCACGCATTGCATAAAAAAAAACACGTCTTGGCATTCAACGTCTCTGAAAGGCATTGTTTTACCTGACGTTGTCTTTTATTAAAATCTAATTAACCAAATTTCCCTTTTGAAATCTGGTTGGAAATTTCTTAAAATTTAAAAGACCCTTATTTTTTCAAAGATAATAACAAGTGCAGCAAATTGACACGAGAGAGAGCCCTATACATAACAAGCACAATCAGTCATGCTGAGTTTGTAATTACTTGCAAACAACACAGTGTTCAATTTATTCCTACACTGGAGTTGACACATTCAAACCTGTGTCAGCCAATTCACTTAATTTAATACCGTTTTGGGTTCAAATATTGACTTTCTTGTTCCTAAGCAAACTTAAGTGCAACAAAAGATTTCTCCCTTCAAATGACATTACCCTGCATTTTCCACTCAACAAGGTCTTAGTATAGAAAGAACCCATTCAATCAACGACTTAATACTTGTATAAGGCTGTTTCATTTAGTACCATCAAATTTCAATTAAACGAATTTTTTATCAGATATAGTGACCCCACGGTCTGTCAATAGTGCCAAATGCAATCTTTACTCAGGGAACATATACACGTATTAGATGGATTTGTTCATGCCAATTTTTCCTATGGTTTATAAAATTTGAACTAAATTGTGTATTGATATATTATCAAAACTGCAATTAAGCTGCTATATAGATCATTAATTGGGAGATATTTTGTAATCATACAATCATTTTTGTTTAAATTATGTACTGATTTTAACCTGGCTATTCTTACAGTAAATGAAATTTAGGCCTAGAATTATATCAGCTATTGCATGCATTTCACATTTATATAAATTAAAAAATAACAACTATGAACTTAAAGATTTTTTCACAGGGTTCATGTCTATGAAAGCCCTAAATCTTTCAAAATAAAATAATTAAAATTCCTTTTGTTTCAAAACCCAGATTTTGGTTGTACCTGGAAGGATTTTTCCGTTGAATTGATCGATGATCCTCTCGCATTTTTCTTTGGATTCCATTCGGCTAAACCCCACCCCTCGACTGATGCCATCGGGCTTCCGTAAAATTCTCGTGGATATCACGGTACCATAGTCCTTAAACATATTCTCTAGATTGGTCTCAGCAAAATAGATTGGAAGGTTGGCAATATATAGGTTGGTAGGGTCCTGCTCTTGTTGCTGAAAGGAGAAAAGAATTTGATCAGTTTTCCAGAGCATATCATAAATGTACTTATTACAGAAAAACTTTTACTGTACAAAAAAAATTGTTATTTTAATTTAGTAATATATATACATGTACACTGTCTTCAAAAACCTGTAACAGGAAAGGAAAAAATGTATAGCTGGATTGGCAATAAAACCTGGGAACCCTGCATCACTAGTCGGGCTCAAGCTCTACCGACTGACCTATCATGGCCCTAACCATTATTAACTTATCATAAACTTATTCTGGGAGATCATTTCATTTAGATATTGATCACAATAGCAAAACACACATGTACATATTTCTCTACTTTTCCACAAACAGTTCCATGCGGGAATGCATGCAAACCATTGAAATGTTCAAAACTATCGGCCATTGAAATGTTCAAAACTATCGGGACTCACAGCAGCATGGTTATAAAACCAATAATTCTTTTTGTAATTTTTTTTTCCCCTACATCGTATCAAAATTAATTAAAAGATCTTTATTTTTAATATATAAAATAAACAAAAGACATTTTTGTACGATGTGATCTAGCTATATATAAAAAGGATTGGCATCCATTTATATCGTTTTCTTTTTTCCTCCATCCTCTACAAACAAGAGTCTACAGAGAGTTTTGTAAAATTTGTCTGCATTGGCTCCCCCCCCCCCCCCCCCCCCCCCAGCCAAACAACATGACTGAACAACCAACAGAGAAGGTAGAATATTTATCTGTCCCTAACTAACTGAGCGATCACAAGAGGCTTTTAACAGAGTACCCTGGAGCATAAAATCAACCAACAAAAATGCTAATTTTATTCATGAGAAGATCGTGAAAGACTCTACCCTCAACTGCTTCATTTCTCTCACATGATGATGCCGTAAGAAATTTCAGGTCAACGTACATCATAACGAAGCAGAAAAACCATTGACCTTTAGGTCAATAGCTGATAGCCCTTGTACACATGCTGAAAAATACTAGCTACCTTAATTTAATAAAAAACAGAAATCATATGTGATAATTTGACTTTTTCTTGAAGATTACCACGGTCATGCTTGAACTGTACACAGCAATGACATGTTTATGACTTAAATTATCTTTACTCCTCAAATGGCAATATGACAACTCAAATACAGCTTTTTTCAGAGGCAAAACTAACTGCTAAAACCTTAATACGTAAATGTCTGTGGGATACTTAATGATTGATTTGACTTTTCAAATAAAGAGCTTTGCACTGGTTATAATGACACACCAGTTACTTTTTTGTAGTGTAAAAAAGCCCCTCCTTCTTTTTTGGAGTGTAAACATGTGACAAAAAACAGGAATTTCTAATGTTAGTTTGACACCATCTATACACATAACTCATAAATATGTGGTGTTCATTCATGTGTGGGCCAGAACATTCAGGTGTCTGTCAAAGGTAATGTATTGCCAAACACATATTTACTACTACAGTCATGTCATCTGCATTTTAAAGCTAAAACTAAACTTCTTCCATAATTGACAGAATCACAATTTAGGAACAAAAATTTAGAGAACATTAATGTTATATTAATTTTTTTTTAATTTGAATAAATTAATAATTAATTTCTTATTTGAATTTGAGTTTTCCATTAATTTATTGATTCACAGAAAAAAATAAATCAAAAATATAAAAAGACAGCAATTTGTTGTTTTCACATCTGCTAAAACACTCTATAGTCTTGGCGTTCCTGACTGCCAGTGCAACAAACTCGGTAACATATTGTCCCTATGGTTGGGTCTGGCATTTTTACTGGAAAATGTCACACAAGTGTGATGAATTGTTCCATTTAAGTGTGATTCATCAGAAAAATTGGAATCCATTTGTTGCTATGGCAATATAAACACGGAGAACATAGGGTCAAAATAAGCAGTTAATTCAGAAAAATTGTCAACCAATGGACATTTTATATTCATATTTTCATTGATAATTCTATGGCAGAAATTGTGGTCGTACTACAGGTTTTAAAATTTTAACTGACAGAAAAAGAGAGATTGAGACAACTATTGCTGTCTATTTTGCAAGTTTTGAAACATGGTTTGATTGAAATATGTATCCCAAGTAATCTACAATAAATTTCCAAGTTAAAAAAAAGTTTTAAAATCTCACTAAATCAAAACCCCGAGTGATTTGTGACTGCCATGCTGCAGACAATTTTGAGATAAGTTGTGTAAATCTGTAGATTGCATGTCTCTGTGAACGCTCTGGTCTGACAAATCGTTTGCCGTCATGGTATTCAGACATATAGTAACCGATAGAAAAGGAATGACAATCAATACACAGATAATCCTAAAACAAATGGACCTATCCATGCACACCCTTCATCATTCTTACTTCAGTCTAATCTCTGCAGTACTATACAGAAAAACTCAGGACTCGGCCCATTTAATAAACTTTAAAATAAATCTACTTTTATTGACTCCATAAAAAGCATGAAGGTGCTCTTTTAGATTTTAATTCACTATGCACAAAAAAGTTTGTGTTCTTCTTTTTTTAATATTACTCCAACCAGAGCCCTAATCGGTTCTCTACTGATTATATAAATTTCCTATACTCAATTTGGATTAAAGCTACTTCCATTAGATAAATGGACTATGATATTTTTTTTACAACCCCCAGATAGAAATTGTTTTCCGCTCATGTTTCTGATTCTAATGGCATCATCAACAGAAAACTTCCCAATCCCTTCTGCTAAGTATCAACAAGACCCGAATCCCCCAGGCGTCTGATATTACGGGACGATACAAGCCGATACAAGCAGCTTTTCATCTCAATGTTTTGGGTTGCTGAAAAACAATATTTCCAATCATACATTGTGCAATTAATTGCAGCAGTTTTGTCTAAGCATCGGTAAGGATACAGGGTCCTAAATGACTAATGACATTTTTTTATGGCTGCTGATAAAACTATAGGAAAGTTTTCTTTCTGTTTTTCTACAGGGTCTTATCAGCCATTCAGAGAATAATAGGTTTTGGGTGCAAAGGCACTTATCTCCCAAAAAATGATCAATGTGTATTGTCTGCCTTTAAACTGTCCAGTCTGATGTAAAATTAAAAAAAGGGATATAGAACATTTATAAACCAACTGGGAAAATATACTATGGAAAACAAAACAAGACATTAACTGACACACTACCTGACTCAATCAGCTTAATACTGATTTTCCTATAAATGCGGACAGATCTCGTAATGTTTTTTGACTTTTATCTGTACAGAGTATCGTGAACAAAATACAACATCAAAATCAGAGGTGTCATCAAGTACCCGGAGTTTGTGTACTATCTCTTACGAAAGATGTGAAAGGGTAAACAGTCACTTATTTTGCTTCGTTCCTTATCTTAGTGTGAGCACTTGCATTATTTATGACACTGTGTAATGAGCTTCCAAACACTGCATTATTGTCCTTTGCATATTGAGTGCATCTTTCTACTTTAGCCTCATTCACCTAAACAACGGATGCATATTCAATAGTGGAAGGTGCTTATGTGTTAGTGCAATTTAAGCTAAATCAGGCAAACCAAATGAGATTCCACTTTTGTCACCGATGTGATTTTTGACATGTTTAGACGTTGATTTGGAATGTCCACTTCACCTGGGAGTAGTGTTTACAATAGAGATTTTCGTATTGAATACTTAGAGGTGCTGCCTGAAAATCACCCCTGGCCAGTCCAGCCTTATTAGTTATGCTAACTGTGTTGACAAGAAATCATTCTACTCAGCCTACAACAACCCTGGGTTGGAGTTTGGGGGAAACCACCTTCCAGCCTATGATTATGACTGTGCTGTTGGAAATCACCTCTGTCCAGCCCATGGCTGTTGGAGGGAAATCACCCCTGTCCAGCCTATGACTGTGCTGGTGTGGGAAATCACCCCTGTCCAGCCTATGACTCTGTGTATGTGGGGGGATCAATCCTGTGTAGTTTATGACTTGGGAGGAGGGGGGATCACTGCTGTCTATGACTTACTTTGGCCATCTGAGCCTGGATTCCCTGTGACTGTAAGGCTTGTACAGCGACCTCCGCTGCTGTGGGTGACTCAAAGTCCACAAATCCATACCCTGCAAAATACAAAACAGCATAAAGAAAACATATAGAACACCTGTCATCCCCCTTTAGATACAGTTGAAGGGGACCCATAGTTCACTCACAGATTATATTTCACAAAACCATTTTACTCTGAAGCACAGAGCATAACCCATATACAGAGAGATTCTGTTGGAACATATACATAATGTAACCCTCGAGACCAACAAAACAAAATAGGCATCTTCTACTTTGGTGTTTTATGGACCATATTATTACATTACCTTCCATATGAGCTCCTATGGGACAGTAATTAAATACACATCAGTGACTCTAATACAAGCAGTGCTCCCTTATAATATGGTGTTTTAATGCTCTAAATTACATTACATATGTTCCACAACAATTCTCAGTTTCCAGTGGGTCTTAAACTTCCTGATTGTAAATCATTCAGCTAAAAAAAACTTGAATCTTTTTGCTTGAGAATCTCCATGTTTACATTTGGCAGAATACACTGTGCTAGCTATTATCTATAGCAGTCTTTCTGTGTCTTGGTCAGAGAGTTAGAGTTCTCTTTCAACATTGAATTTTATTTTAAAGAATGAATTTGTTACATTTCCCTTTCCACGGGGTTTTTCTACATTTGTATAATTTTCTATTCAATCATGACCTGATCTTCTTTTAAATCATTGTCATTTATACCAACATGATCCAATAATTATACATCTAAGTTCAAAACCAGGCTTTTTTTGAAGGCTGCATCCATCTAATCTAAATGAAATAAAATTTCTAATTTAAATAAGAAATTAAACTTCAGTAAGACCCAAACGCTTCATTACAAGAGAAAACCATATCTGATTGTCCCATATTGATCTTTAGTTTCCGATCGTTATCAAACTCTGCCTATAGACAGTGCGGCGCAGCTCTCCAATCACGGCTTTTACTCCTAACTACGCATAATAATAGCATTTCTGATGGGTGCTTTTTACAATAATTGGTAATTTGGTGAATGCAATCTTTTTTCATGGCCAACCAAATTCCACCAATGTGCCTCATCTATTATGGGGTTAAATGAGGTCAGCTCTATTTCAGATCACTTAGAGGTGTCAAGACAGGCAGACTCTGGTTTCTCTCAGGCTTATAATTTCTAATGAAAATTAATTTTTTATCCGTAGACATTATAATAGTAAGAAATTTCTATCATGGAAAACCACAAATATATTTTCTTTCAAGTGAGACACATTCAATTATTTCAACATTCTCTTTCTAAGCTCCAAACATTGAAGCTTTCCTTATCATAAATCAAAAGTAAACTGCTGGGGACATTTCTAACATTGCCTGTGTGAAGATTTTAATACTACAGTAAAGCCTCACTATCATAACCCAACTGCTCCTCTGTATCCTGATGCTAAGTCCAAGATAAACTGGTTTTACAGTAGCTTATAAACTCACCTTTACATTTGTTGGTTTGTTGATCTATAATGGCTTTGGTGGAAATTATTTTGCCATATCTACAAAATAAAAAAAAATCAATTCAATTTAAATATCAAAGTTATAATCATGGGTTTATAAAATTCAGAATGTCTTGACATATCTAATGTGAATTTTTTTTATTTGACATGATCAACATGTTCAGCATTATAGATCAGACGACTTACTAATTCAAATTTTTTTTTATTAGTTATGGTATTTTTTAGCACTTAATCATAATTAAATGATAATTAGAGTGACTAATATAACAAATGTATACAATTGTGTTCAATGTGACATATTTGTTCTTTGGTCTTGTAAAATGTGAAAAGTCATCATCAATATGGTAAAACTAATGGCCTTGTGTATTCTCTGGTTGATTTACTGTTAGACATATGTCATATATCTGCAAGTACAGTCCTGTACAAATCTTTTATTGTCTTTCAAAAAAAAAAAAAGGAAAAACAATGTGCATGAACAAGATAAGGAGCTGTATTCAAGGGGTATGTGAAAATGAAACTTGATATACTTCTCAATGAACTTGAAATGTCATTATAGATAAATAACCTCACAAAAAAGACATAATTCTTGTCGGTTTTCCATGTTTTCAAACTTTTGAAAAAAAAAATTTAAATGCTCTTCAAATTGGCAACAAGGTTTTTTTTTTTTTTTTTTTATAAAATGGCAATTGATTCAAAAACTTGAGAATGGATAACAAAAATCTTAGATAATATTATCTGGTTGAGTTTTTCAATGTTTTTTTGTACTGATAAACAAAGATCACTCCCCTGCAATATAAAACCCAGTGAGACTGCATTCAGAAGGAGAAAAAAGGTATCTTGTCTTTGCCTCTAACAAGTCTCCCATTGCTGATAAAACTCATCAAAATTATCATTTGTACATTCATCAGTATGGTCTTCTTACAACAGAAACCGGTAGATGACAAGAAGTTCTGGCTATGGGGGGAATTAATGGTATCATCATCAACAGCATGCATGTATCTTGCAATGGTTATCAGAAGAGAAAATCTAGCACTGACCCAACAAGTTGCTTTTATTTTTCATGCCGTTACATAATGTCTGTCCTTGGGAAATAAATCATAAAATGGCAGGAATTAGTTTTGACCCAAACCAGAGAAAACCTGACTGCACACACTAATGACTCCATCCTTTAGGTAAGGTTTAAGATTAGTACTTGGGTTTTATATTACTTATCACTCTCCTGCTCTTGTCGGGATGGTGTGCACGACATTAATTTACGCACAATCTTCTTTACACTCAATGCTTGATGTATTTTATGCAGGAGATCAGATTGCATAACTCTAGGCAAATCACAGCCACAACAGATTGACAGATTCACAAGATAACTCTAAAAAGACTAAACCTGCTTGACATTAATTTGAATTTTCTCCTGGTAGAAAAATCTCTTCTATCAAATCTCAGACCCCTTGATTTCAGAATTGCATTTAAATCCTGCATACCAGAATGTGAAATGAAGAAGAGATAATGTCAAAACTGGTACAACTGACATGAGCCATTTCCCTCCCCTGGTAACCACCATTATGCAAGATTTAAATTGCCTTAATAACTTTCTTCTATCATGAAAATTCCTTATATCAAGATGATATATTTCATTAATTAGTGGTACCTCCCAGTTCTATAATCTTGTACATTTATTTTCCAGAGATAACTTATGGGGACTAGATCGAAGAATCTGACACCCTCATTACATCTGACATCCTGGGACAAACACAGCATATTTCACCTTTCTCTACTGTGACATTGGAATGTCCTCTAGGAGCACATATAAACAATTGGGGTATATTTCAAGGTCCTTCCAAAATTTTTGCAAGACTTTTGTAACATTGGCATTAAGAGTATCCAGTTTATTGAGGATTTAAATGTAAAGGTCATTGAAAATAGCATAACGTGGAATATGTTATTATGAATGTATTCTTTTTTTCAGTGTATGGCCTTCATCAGCCAATCAACTACAAGGTCAGGGCAACCATTATTGCTCACATGAACAATTTGAGTTTGTAAAGTAAAATTTATGGTCAAGATCAAATTATGCAGAACTTTTACTCATTCTTCAGTGTAAAATAGTTTCACTAAGTAATTTATTTTACAATATAAATTTTTAATTACAAGAAATAAAACAAGGTTTTGTCAATAATTCTCATACACATCTATACTAGCATATTACCCCCTAGGACATATTACATAAGTGACAATTTAATGTGCTACCTTCCTATTGACTCAAATTGTTCGACAAAACACTTCCTGTATTTATGGACTGACATTTATTAAATCATTGACCTAATGGTAACATGCTGTAAGTCCTTGCTATTAAAACCTGAATAAAATTAATCATTAGATAATCCCCCCTTCATAACTGGCTGGTCTCATCTCTTTAAGGTCCCTAAATGAAGTGATTGCAGTTTAAGCAGCTAATATCAGTTGTACAGAGGACATGGCTGATTAGTGTGTGTAATCTGTAAACTAAGCTTGACTAATGCCTCTTCATTTTCCACCAAGTCACTTTGATGAGGGGGAAACCCAGCTGATAACCCTGGCGACCTTCACCCCCAGCTCAGGAGGCTCCAGACAGATTTGGCTGCCAACACATGATCTATGTTCCTTTCTTCAGAAGCAGTGAGACTTTTTTTTTTTTATTTTCATGTGAAAATTGAAATCAGGGTTAATTGAGACCTTGAGCTTCTTCAAAGGCAAACTTCTAGATCTGAAACTTCAGAATGATATTACAATTGTCTAGGCGTACAGCAGTGGTCATGCTTTGTATTTTGTGAAGTAATAAAACTCTCTGCAAACAAGATCCCATCAGTATTTACATTAATTGCCATATTTATCAGATGGGTTCAAAAAAACGCTGCATTAACTTAAGCATACTGCAATTAATGCACATAACTTGACTACTTGTTTTTGCATCAGTCAAGTAGCTTGTCATTGCAGAATCAACATCAATACTACTGGCACTAAATTTAACGTAGCAACTCTACGTAGACTTGAAGTCTCCAGAAAGAAAAAAAAAACCAGATTCTTCCAATGATGTCTGAACACTCTGCAATCTCATACTTGCTCTTAGAATGACATCGAAACTTTTAAAACAAACATTTGACAAATGCACATAAGCTGCTACCCTCATGATAAGAAACACATGTCAAATGTTTATGCTACATCATATTTTTTTCCCAAAAAAACTTGGGTTACATAATCTTATGTGAATGTAGTTCTTTGTGAAACTCAATGTGAGAAAGTTTCTTGTGGATGACCTTCAGCTGTTTAAGTTCTACAGACCTTAAAACTATACCACAAACTCTGAAAGACACAACTTTACATATCTGTTGTTGGCTTTAATGAAATATTGCTGAAGTTCTTGGATGATTTGAATTTGCTGCTGCTGTGAATTCATTATTTCTATATGTTTATAATTCACGCAGAGGATCAAGTCAAAAACAGCTCCCTGCATGAAGTTCAGCATTTCCCTATCAAAATGGAACCTCTTATAATTAATAACATGAAGAAAACAAGTGTTCTTAAGATGCCTGATTCAAATCTTCAGAATCTTTACACCATTGAAAATGACTGACAGACAAATAACTGATTTACAAATAAGTCAGTACATGTATAACCTTGACCCTAGCCCACTCACAAAAGAACCTTGACCCTGTGTCACTCTAGTAAACCTAAACTCTATCTGGCAAGAATCTTGTATCTCTGAACCAGCTCTTATGTTTTGCAGGTTAAACTCCTTCCTACACATGCCTAATCATCTCTGTTTCACATAAATCAAGATCATTTTCCTGGGCAAATAAGAAATCTGACATTCCTGAAGAAATATTTAGACTTGGGAGAATTAGTATCTAGTCTAAACAAAACATGTCTGCCCTGGTGTCTTATTAATTGGCAATCTCTTGGTTGTGGTGTAACAGGCATTAATAAGTCATGGAATCTTATCTGCAGTGGTCCATCCAGCTTTTCTTTCCTCTCTTCCCTTCTCTTAGCCAAGGCTGTTACAAAAAAGTTAGCCAATATCATTTACATAACAAAAGATGCATGACAAAAAAAAAAAATTGGCTTGATGGGTTTTCTCTGTTCAGATGCAGCACTCTGATAACAGTTTCGTTACAAATTGCATAGAAAATCATTATCATGGTATCAATTTTTTTGTGTACCAGAAGGCCTCCTACATCTTCCCATTCTTTTTATGGTTTTCTGATGACCAACTCCACAAGTCTTTTGCTTCATTTCTGTTGCCATGGTAATTCAACAAAACGGGAGACGGCAGATATAGATGTGTAATTATTAAAGGCATTCATGAACTGATCATGCAAACAGTTCAATGTCATCCACTTTTATAGCTTTCTAGGTTTTTCAGTATGTGCTAAGAGAAAAAGGTCCATACTGAAGAGCATAGTCTATAACTAGAAATGTTTCGTTCTCTCTTCTTCTTTCTTATCCAGTTTAAAATTGTACATAGCTTATCATCAAAACTTTCCATTTTGCAGAATCTAGTAATGCTTTGAAATCATAATTAAAGAGACAACAGCAGTCAGCAGAAGAGGATTATCCTGTGGCTAAGGTTCCAATGTCAACGATTATATAACAGTTAACTTGGAGTGGGACCGTCTATATTGGTGGAATTTTACAGCATAAACAGCAACAGATCGATGCTTTTTTCTTGCACGATATTACAATTTGTGAAATTTATCATTTATAATTCATAAGCAATGTATAAAATTATAAAACTTAATATTTAGGATCAGATTTGAAGCTGACTATGGTTTAATTTGTAATACATAATTCATACTTCACATAAGTAGCACATGATTCATGAAACTTTCATCTGGTGTAAAGTTTCGAAACTTTACAAAAACATTTCTGTACCACTTGTTCGGAATAATTACATGTATAGTGAACAGAAACTGTAGCACTTGTAACGTGTAGTGTTCTCTTCCTCCTGTTTATTAAATCAGCATGACGAATTCCTTGGGCAGATTTAAAGTTTGCCACTGAAGTGGATGTTTAGATCTTTTTCACCTCCCTTTATATAGCGTCTTGGGAGTTATTTATATTTTACATCATTCTCAAACTTTCTTGGATCTTCATCCAAAAATAATTCTGTGAGTCATTTTATAAATTCTGTGTAATTGCACAAATTCTAAGATAACACCACCATTTTACAGCTTTTTTATGACCTTGATTTCCATGGTAACCATACTCACATATTTATATTAGTGTCATGATAAAAAAAAAAGTGACAACATTTATTTGTTGAAAGACTCTCACTGCACAAAAATCTATCTTTCATCAAAACAAAGTCGCATATAGAATTGGTTTTCCTCTAGAATCTCTTAATACCAAACATCTGTATGAATCATCAAGACATCAGAAAATGGTGAAATTAAAAAGATTGCAATGGCACTTTTCTGGCTTCTTGTACTGGAAATGGTGCAGCGGATGTCTTCCCAGGCACCTTGCCTTGACAAATGAGTCACGTTTAGGAACCAAAAAAATCTGAGGAGATTGAAGACCTCTGTTTTTTCTATCTCTTTGTCAGTTATGTGTTCTATATAAGTTGTGCAAGATAGGTTTAAAGCTAACTAGGTCTTTGTAAGATTTCTGACTTCAGGCCATCTTAAAAATAGCTTGATAATTGTCAGTTATGATGAACTTAAAGTTTCAAATTCTACAGTTATCAAGATAAATGGCCAGTTGTTTTAAGACTTTATTTCTTGGTTGCAACTGTCAGACTTCCAGAATATACCGTTTTTATGTGGTTTTATTGTGGTTCTACAGAATTTTGTAAACTTACTTTAGGTTTGACGAATGCTTACCAAATTTTCACTCATCAGAGTTAAGTTATGCCAAGAGAAATCCCATTCAGGGTAAAACTTAAGTCTTTGTTCATTTGATACATTTGAATTATATGCACATGTAACTTTTTGTTTCACAGAAATGTTAATTCTTTGACTGTCATCATAAGTGTAAGCTATAAGTCCTGAGGTTGGCAGATGTTAATTTTGTCTTTAATCAGAGAAGTTTTGATGCCATTGAAGACTCCTCCAACAGAAGACTATGAATTGTCAAGTTCAAGTCACCAATACAAAGGCCCCTGTTCCCCAAGTCTGAGGTTAACGCAAAGTCCTTGTAAGTTTGTGTGGGATAAGAAATTTGTACCCAGTATTAGAATTCTTAGATTTGGCAAATTTTTTGTATGTTGTGTTTGAGTTTGAGTTATAGGTTCTACACTCAGTTAAGCAAGTCTTTTACAGATGTATAATAGAACAGGTGCTACTTAGGGATGGCAGAGTTTATCTAAGTCTATGTCAAATATGTTTGTGTTAGTAGTCCTTTAAAGAAGTCTTTGACAGTATGAGTAACAGGTGCCACTACGGTCGGCAGAGGTTGTTTTTGTAGGTTGTGTTGGAGTTTGAATTATATTACTACAGGTAACTCTCGATACCTTGAAGTCCACGGAACCGAGGAAAAACTTCGAGAGATCAAGAGTTCAAGTTTTTAAGAGTCCGGAATTTTCCGGGTTTGTTGACAGGTTTTAAAATTAGTCTTACCGGATGTAATGATTTTCATGCAGTGCTAACCTTTTACATGTGGGTTTTATAAAACAACGATATTTTTTCGTAATTTAGATGAATATTTCATTAAATTGAGTAAAGTAAAAAATGTATATCGTCATTTCATATTTAATTATTTATTCTTTGTAATACGGACATTATACATTCGTTACATGAAAACGACATTTTACAGCGTCGTACATAGCATTGACTATTCCAAACATGATCATTAAACGCAGTTCTGTAAGTATTTGTCCAACAATAGTCGTCATATTGACATTGAGGCTGTTTCTGCTTTTTCATATTTCGCCTAACTTTGATACTAACTTGAAATAAAAATTAAAGAAGTATTTCGTCTTTTAACCAACTACTACTTTTCACTGACACTGCGTCTCTAAATTATCGTAAGGCAGTCGATGATAATAATTTTAATAGCATAAAGGCAAAATATAATTAATTATAATTCAGTTATCACCTTGCAGCGTAAGTGTCACCTGAATAAACATCCCGTTCCTCGAGACCCGCGTCTACTGTCTGGGTCAATTAAATGTCAAGGTAAAGGTGCTAATTATATACCACCTTGTATACACACAGCCACTTTGAGGTATCGAGGGTGAATTCTAATAGAATACGCATAGCTGGACCGCATTTTGACTTCGAGGGATCAAGGGTTTCGAGAGATCAAGAGTTCGAGAAATCAAGAGTAAATTTGCTTAGTTATATAGGGGAAAAAATCGGGACCGGAGACTTACTTCGAGCGATCAAAAACTTCGAGAGATCGAAGTTCGAGCTATCAAGAGTTACCTGTATGTCCTATATTTAGACAAGTCTGACATTTGTCTTTGAGTAACAGGTGCTACATATGGTTGCAGAGGTTAACCAAGTCTCTGTTGGTTGTGTTTGAGTTACATTACATGTAGCATTTGTCCTACATTTAGATAAGTCTCTGACAGTCCTATTGGAGTTATAAGTGATACTTACGGTTGGCAGAGATTAACTAAGTCTTTGTCGGTTGTGTTAGGGTTGAGGCCTCGTATATACAGGTTGGTCTGACTGAGTTGTTCCCCAGAGTTACTAGACTGGCTACTGGTGGTGTTAGGGCTGGCCGCAGGCATGCTGCGTGGAGTATAAGTCTGCAAAATCACAAAAAAAGAATCTGGTCAGTTTAACTGGTGGATAGACTCCAACAGAGTATGATGAAAAACATTCACATAAATTCCTAAAAAGTAACAGAATTTGGGATATAGACTGTGTTAGCTATACACTTATTCTTGTTGTTTCATTATAAGATTTTAGTATTTTGAGGGGATTTTACCCAATGCATATCTCGTCTTCAAACATGGATGGGTGAATACAATGACACAAACCCCTCAGAAAAGCAGCAGGTCTTTATAAATCTTTCGAAAGATTTGCACTTTTTAGAACTTTAAAACCCAGAGTTTTAATTTAAGAGACATATGAGAAAAGAAATTATAATGTCTGACTCTCTTGTCAAAAGCAGCACAATATTGCTTTGCACAAGTTGCACAATCTTGCTGTGCATCAGAGCCAAAGCAACAGAAGAGCAGAGAAATACAGACTGATAAAAACGCTTGTTACAAATTAACACACTGCATATATTGATTTCACCTTAAGAGATGTAACAGTTTGAATCTTATGGATCTAGTCCATAAACACCATTCAACATATTGGCTTGTTCTGTTAAACATCACTTGCAGTTGACAACCAATACACAGGAGAGAGACATCCTCTACAAAATCAAATCTGTCCCTCTGAGTCATTGCTGGATGATGATGGGAAAAACAATCCCGGTAACACTACCAGCATTTACAGTTTTTAGCTACTTTAATTTTTTTTTAATCCAGTCTGAATCAGATTATCCAAGATCCTAGAGAGAGAGAGAGAGAGAGAGAGAGAGAGAGAAAGAGAGAGAGAGAGCAAATTGGCCCCAAGGTCAGTTTATAATCTGGAATAAAAATCAGACTGACCATTATTAATGTACCAGCTGATGTCAACACAACCCAAGCATTAAGTACAATTTGCCATTGTGGTATATATATGAGTCATTGTAATAGGTCTATGAGATAAGTGGACTTTCCAAACACAGTAGTCTCCCCTTACTAGACTCACTGTCACCATCAAGACCAATATGGCTCACCCCCTTAAAAACAACACACAAAAAAATGTTATGAAGAATAAATTTCCTCAGAAGGAATGTCAAATGGACATTTTTTTTCTAATTTTCCCTTCATGTTGAGCACAACCCGATGGATACAATTGTGTTTTGGCAGATTGATTTCACGAAATGACACAAGTTTGGCAGACTTAAACATAAACAAATGCCCATCTGTTCAAGAGATGTTTACCACTTAGGACATGAATGCTTTTAGCTTTTCTAATTACTACACACACAGTAAGGAATCTTATTTCTGCTTCAAGTCTATTACTCTGAAAATTATTGAATCAGATTGCTTCAAAGATACAATTTCTTCTGCAGTCTGTGTTCTTTAATTCATTAACGAGATAAAAATATTTAATTATTTTACTTATAACATCATTGGCATTTAGACTCAGAAAACTAAATTTTATAAATAGAGACCACAGCATCCAAAATTAGAATATGTGCCATGTTTCATCCTTTAGAAATAAAACCCAGCCTTACTTTAAATATCATGAGTTAAACACATACAATTAACAAAATTACCCTCATCTTATTACGAAAAATTGCCTGAAATGAGTAAAGCTGCACGTACCTCTGAATAGCAAAGAGAAACAGACGCAACAGTCTAGATTCAGAATTGGAGTATAATGCAGAGTTGCATGGTCAAATAAGCATGAAATAAACGATTTCAGAGGAGAACACTACCAGATATGGTAATTTTATTCAAAAAAGACACATAATATACGCTTTAAGCTGAGCCCACTAGAATATCATGCAATGAAGAGATCATATGGTCCAGCACACAAATACACAAGAGCCTTGCTTAAAAGGCTGCGGTTAAAAACGAGCAAAATGTTTATAAACTCTCACATGATCAATGATAAAGTGTTCGCTTCTTCAATGTCCAGAATTATACACCAACAGTATTTAATCGGGCCTCCGGGGGAAAATGTTTTAAAAACCAAGATTGGAATGTCACCACAATCGCTAGGGTAATATACTCTGTTATGCTTCACCTATGCGTAAATATTTGATAATTCATTCACCGGTGTCGTGTTATGTGTGGTCACACTTGTTCACAAGGTATTCACCTTACCAAAAGAGCACCTGTTTTTATATGCCATGGTTTTCTTGCTAAAAAGTGACAAAATGTCACAAACCTTGCATGAAAATTACTTATTTTTCTTGCAAAGTTCAAGATGATGCAAAATATTTTATGTTTTAACTTTGAATTTGGGATTAATGCAAAAAAGAACAGACAAATGCCAGTGAACACACCAGCGATGCCACCACTCGTTATCTATCAAGTGTAAAATATCTTCTCTGCTACGTACCCACATATTTTAAGTTTTGTCTGTTCAAACAAAATTAACTCTATTCAAACACAAATGCCAGGTAAATTTTAAATTTCTTATCAATCCAAAGATATAAACATCTCATTTTTCAGGGCAGATATACAATATTCGTATTGTCATACCCAAAACTGGCAGGGCCATAAATCCAGACAGACACCATTTCACCTGTGCAGTTGTATCTTATGTCATTGGTACCAGCAATTAGGCCAAGCCTAAAATTTTTTATGGTTCTTATCACTTGTACCAGCACTTTAAGTCAAACAACAGATTTTTAAGGTTTTTGTGCTTAATAAAATCTGGAAAAGTTCCAACGAAAATCCGTTTTAAATATCAACCTTTTTCTCAAAGGGTTTCCAAGGTCAATTTTTAAACTTTTTAAAAATTCTTATATCAGAAATATTTACATGGTCTAGCTACTTACAAATTTCTGGGAAACAATATTTTTTCAGATTATTAAACTTGCAAAAGATTGCATTGATAAAGGGAGAGATCAAATTACATATAAACAGGAGATATTTTGTGTTCATGTGACATTATATTCACTGTCGCCTGTCGACCCTTCATAAACATGTTATTACTATCAGCATAATGACACTATTCAAAATGTTTAGTTTAAATCTAACAGCCTATCTGTGTTACCCTGACTGATTTTTTTTTTCCATTATTATTATTAAAAATTAATTCACAGATACGTGTATGAGATATGTTTCTAACAAGTTCCATGTTCACAACATAAACTTTAGATATTTTACTATTGCCATTAAATCATAACAAAGACAACAATTTTTAATTAATTATCAAAGAAATGTCTTCTGTCAAAATGAAAACATATTAAAGCAGCCTACCTAGTTTATTAGTTCATTTTTTCTAAAAGATGAATTTTTAATAACACCAGATGGTCTTAAGGATGAATTCTATTCGATAAATAATTGATGCAATTTTAAATAAATTTGATATTTATGGAAACCATATATAAATATGGAAGCATGATGTATTTGAAGTTGAATCATTGATCTGGCTGGAATAAGAATTTAAAAAAAAATAATTTTATCAAGTAATGATAACTGAATATATCTGGAATATATCATTACATTCCTATCACGCTTAAAAAAAAAGTATCATATATTTCAGATAGAGTTTAAGAAAAAATACATTTCTTGTCATTTCTTTCCCCTTTTAAACAGGTCAATGTTCTCAAAGATCAAACAAATAATTCTGACCCAGAACTCAATCACTCATCCTAGATCACAGATTGGAGAATGGCATTCCTCAAAGCCAATCACATTAAAGAAGAAAAGAGATTATTTCAATCAAATTCTCCAATTGGAGCAATTACGCAGACCGTTTCCCCACATCCAGAATGATGTTGGAGAAATTTCTGCCCTGTCAATGATATGGGGAAAGGGATTTTTCCTCCACTATCCTCGACAGAGAAGTCAGAGCTGATTCTACAAGACATCCTTCTCTATCAATCAAGAAAAACAGTTGTCTGATCAAATTCTCCACAAAACAAAGAAATTCATCAACAGGCAATCTGTCTTTCTGTCACTCCTGAATAACTATTGTGTAAATTCAATCCTTCTTTTGTCTCAAGAGAATAAACAGGTCAAATACTTCTATCAATGGCCTGATTTAAATGAAAGCTCTTTCTCTCTCTCTCTCTCAAACAGGTCAAATACTTCTTTCAATGGTCTGATTTAAAAGAAAGTCCTAGCTCACCTCCCACCACACCCCCCAACTTAACATTAAAATACCTCCATTCTCTCTCCCCCTTTTCTGTGTTTTACACGTACCTCTGTTAAGCGGTCTGTGAGGATGATAAAACGATAATAGTTACAAACACCTGAACATTTCTTACAGGTAAAAACTCATTTTCAAGTGACAATTTACATTAACAGGATTGTTAAATAAGGTAGATGGATTTTCACCTACACAGATATGTGACCACTCAAGCAGGTAACTTGAACACCTTCAATATAAACTATATATTCATGCACGTTATCATGTAAAACATAATCAAATTTCTTATACTCATATTTGTGTACAAATTAAACAATCTCATTCTGAATAAAATGATTTTTTTATAATTTAAATTGTCCACTAAAAAAATAAAATGACCTAGTTTTTACATCTTTTACACATTAGAGAGAAGTAAAATGCAACTTATATACCTGACAGGTGATTATGAATCCAACAACAAATAAATGAAAAAAAAAGTCCACCAATGTAAACACACTGTAGATTGTCTATCAATGATAAACCTTACAAAACTGACTTGGACTTAACGCTATATAAAGGTCATTTACTTCAGATTTAGTTTTCCTGCCGGACACTGTGTAGGACCTTCACCGCTCAACGTCACACGTTAATCTGTAGAGTCACTAGGGCTTGATACACAGCTTACAAAATCGGCAGATGATCCACGAACACCAAGTTACTTTCCAGTGGAGGGTTTTAAATCTAGTGGACCACTCAAAGTCACTCGATTAAGTAAAACTGGGAAGGGAATGCAGAATTAAAGTCCGTGTCTCAATTGACAGCAGGCCCATTGTGAAGTAAAAAAAGGCTCAACCGAATTTACTTTTTTTTTAAAGATCGAACTTAAAGTGCCTTTCAG